AATTTAAATCTTCTGGTTTTAACTTCCTTACAGTTATTATTTTGCTTTTAGTAGAGACTAAGTTCTTCATGTTTATTATGACTTACTTTGTAATGAAATGAAAGATGTTATGAATAACACAGAAGGTAAAACTGTAAGGTCAGCAGATAGAGTCTTCCCTTCTTTCCTCCCTCTTCTCCACTCTACTTTTATCTTTTGTTGAATCTAAGGTATGAGGAGAGTTTCAGGTACCCACTTTTGTCTACATCTATGGGTACCTGGGTGTTTGTCCACAAAGTAGATTGATAGAGGCTACTGAGTACATTTTTGTCAACCTTTCTGTTACCTGGTTGATTGCAGTATGAAGTACAGGAAAGATAATTCTGACTTTTAAGGTTTCTTGCTTACGGAATGAGACACAGCTAAAGTTTTTGGTTTGGGGTGTTTGGAGTTGTAAATAGATTTTTAACATGATCTCATGCTTTCTGTGGCTATTTTAGGACTTTTGTAGGAATTATGGTTTTTATTTTAAACATTTATTTATTTATGCATACAGGAACTCAGGTACAGTCCAGAGGTGGGGGGGGGGGAGGGGGGGTGAGAGGATTCACCAGAGACAGAGTGGGAAGCAGAACAGGCCGATTGACTGAAATACACTGCCGAGGGGAGCAGCGGGTGCGTCAGGAGAGGTCTGCCACACCATGTGGTCAGCTTCCTGGCCCGGGGTTGCTGCAGATAGCTACATAGTGCTGCAACTTAACCACTTGCACCACCAGGGAAGCCCCTGGATTATGGTTTTTATCTCAAGTCTTGTTTCTGGTCTCTGCGCTACTATACTGACACATGATGAGAGCTTGTGTCTATTGTGTGTTGACTGCTCAGAGAAAAGCTCTGAGCAAGCTGTGTGTCAGCCCTGGTTCCTTATGAGGCTGTTAATAACTTAGAAACCTAAGTTGCAACTCCCCCCCTTCAAGAGTGTTTGTCAGAACAAGAGTCCAGGTGTTGTCTACGATGTAACAAGAATAGAGGTATTTTTCCTTAAATCTATTTCTTAATTAGCATTTAAGAATGGTAATGAGTTCAGGAAACTAGAAGACTCAAACTAAGAAGAACCAAACCTATATAAAAGCAAACGGATAAAACCTCTCAACTGTCCTGTGAGGCTGGCCTGGGAGGAGAATTGGCAGTAAAGATGAGTGGAATATGGAACTGGGATCAAGGTCCAGGCTGTGCCACCTGCTGAGCAAGGGCAGGATTATTATATAATCGGGTACTTTTCTGTGTGATATACATGTGAGACTTCAGAATTGTAGAGAAACCAAAGACGCTGCTACCTGCCATCTTTGAGTGTGAGTACGTGACTGTCCTCTGGTGACCCAGCAATTAGTATAATAATACTTAGCATTAACTGAGTGCTGGGAATGTGCCAGGAACTATAGAGTAAGGTGATCTCACCTGTCCACACTGGTGTTCTTAGGTCAAGGTTCTTCACTGATTGAGTGATTGCTTCTTGGCATTTGAATTAGTGTCATTCACATCAAAGACAAACCCAAAGAGGTGAATTCTGATGTTTCAGAGTCTCCTTCCTATTCTCTTAATCTTGCCAAGAAAATTGATGGTAACAGTGGAGTCCATAGATGTGTGCAAAATGCACTCTGGAAGAGAAATCTCAATTGGAATTCAGTTTCAAAATGGGAATTATGGGGTACTCTCAGGAATCCTTGAGAGTCTTTTTCTTTGATTGAATTAGGAGCAGAATGACTGCTTCATTCTTGGAGTAGAGGTGAATAGCAATTCCAGACATGTAGGATATGGATTAAAAGGTAGAAAATCTTATACATGGTGGTTGAAAGTGTAGAGGCATCCTTTATTCATTAGATGCTCACCAAGTACCAGGCCCTCTTGAAGCACTAGGAAGGAGCACAGCCCTCCATGAGACAGTCTAAAGTGAGACTTCCCTCTGCGGTGGCCATAACAGGGTCCAGAACAGCCCTGGTTCATTTTCTCTGTATAATTATTTTCTCACTCCCTGTCTCCAGGAGACAGTGCTGGCTTCCCTTTTGTTTGTAACTGTCAGGCCTGAGTCATCCCTTCACAGCAAGCGTTGCAGAATCACACATCATGTTCCGGTCTGGCTGTGCTCCAGCCAGGTCTCAGCCACATCCCTAGCAGCGGAGTGGCCAGAACACTGGCCAGTGGTGCAGAAGGACTTACTGGTGACCATGGCACTTGCTTCCAGTCTGTTTTTGTGGAGTACAAGATGCTTTTAGGAGCAGCACGTTCTCGATGCCAGGACTGGCATACCTACCACTAGAAAGCCCCAAATCCCTTTTTTTAAAAACCGTGAATTTATACATACAAGTCAACTATCTCTTAGGAAGGATAGTGTAAAACACCCTCACCTCAATAAAAAATAATATAATTAAAACCAAAAAAAAAAGAATATTGGTCCCACAGATGGTCTTGGCAGCTTAGCTGGTGGTGCTGTTGTAGACACAAAATGGAAACCCTGGAATTTATATTAGAATTTAAGAAAATTCATCAAATAGCAAACAGAATTCTTCCTGAAAAAAGTTTAAACAAGTTTGATTTTGAGTTTTTAGGCTCTCTTCTCATTAAAGTCCTATAGTAAGTCTGCGTTCTAAACAACTTACTTTGGTTTTGAGTACTTAGGCTTTTTTCCCCATGAAAGTAATTTTGGTTGATTTACATATTCTAAAACTTTATATCCTTAAAAGTTATTTGTATCTATAAAAATTTATATTTGGACAAAATCTAGGGCATCTTTGCAGTTTTAAAATGAATGTTTTGAAAAACCATTCTCACCTTTAATTCTCCACTTTGTTATAACTTTTCTTTTCCTGGGATTCTCTTCTAATCATTATATATAGTTATAATGTTGGCTTTTATGCAATTGTATTTACTACTTTAAGCCTTAAAAGTCCTTACCCGCTTTTTGAATGTGCCTCATTGAAGTGATTCTTACTCAGCAGTGTGACTCAGGGTAGTGAAAGGGGGGTTGTTGTGAACAGCAGTGGGAGTGTCAGATTAGTCTTCCAACCAGAAAACATTCCTTGCAATTTGAGACCTGGATAAAACAGCATATTTTTTCTTGGTCTAGGGAGTAGGTAGATTTATGCAGTGTTTGCTCAAATGGTGAGATGCTAAACGCACTTTTTGCTTTAGGGGTCTCAGAGTGGCCAGCCAAGTGCAGTTATCTGATCTACCTGGGAAGAACGCTTTAGTTCTTTGTGGGGGAAAATGAGACCTTTGTGCTTTGCTGGGAATGGGAGTGTTAATGCTAGCGGTTGCGCACCCGCGTGCACACACTCACAAGCACACACACAGAGCATACAATAAACAATAGAGTGATGGACTAACACTTCCAAGGCTTTTCTTGTCTAGAGAAGCTCAAAAGGGAAAAAGATCCCAGGTTTTGGTTTTTAAAAACCTCTCCATAGAAATACCTGTTACTCAAATAAGATAAGGAGTCAAAACAATTAGATTCCAGAATTAGTCTGAAAGAAAATAAATAAATGGTATAGCTTTTCGATTTACAAAAATGTTTCAACCTCTGACAACTCTTAAGGACACAAACTTGAACAAATTTGTATGGCGTTCTTTTATAATCCTATAAAATATGCCAGAATTTTGTGGAGGACTGAGTTTGAGCTTGCAGACACCCGACGACACCCAGGGCTGCTGACGGGCAGGAGTCCCCCCAGTCAGTCAGCCTTGGGCTGGGAATGCCAGGCCATGTGCGCAGGGTCAGCCTATTCAGCCTTGACGTCTTCGGGAAAAGAGCACACATAGCAGAGGCTACCTGGGAGAAGGGCCCCAGCCATCATTCTTGAATCTCACTTTAGGAATTTGGGTATATTAGTTAGCATTGGTTTCAGGCATAAGCAGCAATCAGAGTAATGGGGCTTGCTTAATTAAACAAGACAGAGATTAATTTTTCCCCCTTACATAGAAGAAGTCTGAAGCCAGGCAGCTGAGGCCTGGTGTGGTAGTTTCATGATAGTCAGGGATCAGGCTCCCGCCATCGCCCTTCGTGGTGGTTTCTACCCTCAGCTTCGCCTTGTGGCCGCCGGGTGTCCGCTTCAGATCAAGCAGTTGTGACTGTGCTCCAAACAAGAAGCACAAGGCCAAAGGTCATAGAATCCAGCCCCCTCAAAGAGTGTTCCTGGAAGACCTCCCTATTTATTGGCCACACCTGTCTGAACAGGAAATGACCTTCCCAAGAGTGCCAGACCAGATGATCATGAGACTAGAGGTGTTACCAGGACTTTCTTGCCGACACTTTGGGATACCTGCAAACTCTTAGAGTTGGACAGTAATACTGTCCTACTTGATGGGTTCAGCAGTATTCAGGACTATGCATGGGCACTGCTTACAGTAGTAAACCAGATACAGGTTTCTACCTTCAAAGAGTTTGCAGACTAGTAAGACAAAATAGGATATAAATAAATAATTAATGTACTGAACATTAAGAAAAAGGAGATGTATAGAACATAATAAGAAAGAAACACATACTCCATAAGGGTATGTGTGACACCACATACACTTGAGATTTAAGGGTGCAGGGGAGTTAGCTGAATTAGAAAGGTGGGGGTGGGTGTGAGAGGAGTGCAGGGGGGACTGTCTATCCGAGGCACACTCACCCAATTGTTTTCTTCTGTAATGGTTCTTTCTTCTTGTATTATTTGTCTTATCAGTGGGGATCAGTGGGAGTTTCTGAACAACAGAGGATGGCAGGGACTAAATATTATTTTATCTGAAATGGTTAAAGGGACTGCCATCCCTTCTGCTTACTTGTTTTTTCACTCTCTAGATGAGTGCCTGCCCTCAAGGGCTGCCCCCAGGAGTGTGGGTAACTGAAAAAGGAAGTGGACAGATGAGTGGGCTCTCTGAGTCCAGCTACCCATCATAGACCTGGATTTTGGTCTCATTGTGGGGCTTTGGGGAGGTAGGGATTGGTTCTGACTTTGAACTGCTGATATCAACCCTCTCCCCTCCAGGAAGTGGACATTGTGGTGGCGCCGTGCCAAGGCCTCCGGCCCACAGTGGATGTTCTGAGTGACTTGGTGAATGATTTCTTGCCTGTGATAACCTATGCACTCCACAAAGATGAACTCTCTGAGAGGGATGAGCAGGAGCTTCAGGAAATTCGAAAGTATTTCTCCTTTCCCGTGTTCTTTTTCAAAGTGCCAAAGCTGGGCTCAGAGATAATTGACTCCTCCCCCAGAAGAACGGAGAATGAACGGTCACCACTTCATCACCAACTCATTGACCTGGGCTATCTGAGCAGTGGTCACTGTAACTGTGGGACCCCCAGCCAGGACGCAAAAGCTCAGAGCATGCTGGTGGAGCAGACTGAGAAGCTGAGACACCTGAGCACGTTTTCTCACCAGGTGCTACAGACTCGCCTGGTGGAGGCAGCTGAGGCCTTGAACCTGGTGCACTGCTGCTGCCTGGACATCTTTATCAACCAGGCCTTTGACATGCAGCGGGACCTGCAAATTACCCCCAAACGTTTGGAATATACACGAAAAAAGGAGAATGAGTTGTATGAATCCCTGATGAATATTGCCAACCGAAAGCAAGAGGAAATGAAAGACATGATCGTTGAGACACTTAACACTATGAAGGAGGAACTTCTGGATGAAGCTGCCAACATGGAGTTTAAAGGTAGGTGCCTGGGGGGCCTCCCCAGTGGCGCAGCGGTTGAGTGCTGGGCTGTGGAAGCTGCCCACAGCCTCTGCAGCACCGGTTCAATCCCCGGCCACCGGGTGAAGGTCCCACATGGCGTGCAGACCTCTCCTGCTGCCCGCTGCTCCCCTCAGCAGTGTACTTCATCAGTCTGCCTGCTCTGCTCTCCGCTCTGACTCTGGTGAATTCTATCACCCTCCCGCGCTTCTGACTGTACCCAGTGCTTGTATAAATAAATAAATATTTTTTTTAAAAAATAAATAAATAAAGGTAGGTCCCTGTGAGCTAGTGGGGTGCCAGGACTGCAGGGCCTGGAGGAACCTTACTGTCCCACCAGGAACTACCTGAAATCATTTAGCCAAGATGGCCGCTCTCATTTTCAGAGAGCTTCCTGAATGATCCCACTGCCATTCCTTCCTAGGACTTAGCCCAACTCTGGTAAATCATCCAAATAGCCTTCTTTACTCTCCAGGTTAAATCTGTGTCCTTGACCCTAGTGGCACGGGAGAAGAGCTGCTTTAGGTCATGCTTTAACCTTGACTCTTCACCTGCTTTATTTACTCTTTTTTTGTGTTATAATCTCATTTTCTTTTAAGTCTGCTTCTGAAACCCGAATCAGGAGGATTTCCACAGTGTTTTTAGCTTATTTTATGGGCTGTCCTTCACAAAGGGTTCTTAACAAAGTTGGACCAAAGTGATCATTTGGACTTTTTGGTACCTGAGGAGTACATGGTGCTGACTTTGCATACTGATTACTGTGTAAGCCCCTGTGCTTGAGCGTTACTCTACTATCTAGTAATTAAAGTGACATGGTTTACAGGTTATGATTTAGGTTCTCAATCATGACTATACATCCAAGTCACCTTTTGAAATATGGATGCTAAAGACCATGATAACCTACTCACTGTGTCAGTGGGACCTAGCATCAGTCGCCACTAGTGCTCCCACCCCCAGATTTCTTAGGTAGATTCTGTTTACTGCTATTTGCTAGATGAGAAAACTAAGACTTCAGCAGGTGAAATATTTGCTCAAGGTCACACACAGCTAGTAAACGTGGAGGCAGAACTTGAATCTAGACAGTCTGATTCCTGAGGCCATACTCCTAATCTCCTTGCTTTGCTGCTGCTTAATTACTGCTGCCACCATCTTCCTGAAACCAGCTTCAAACCTCACCATGGTCTTTAACTGTTTTCGTCCTCTTGTCCCATATCCTGCCATATCACATGTCCACCTCTGCTTTTCTAGCCCCTCTTCTTTGAGCTCCCTGACATATTTCTGTTCTTTCTCCATTTCTTCTTTATTGGCTCTGTTATTACCTATTAAGTTTAAACTCCATGGCCTAGTAGTAAAGATCTCCCAAAGCCCAGCCTTTACCATGTTTCCTACTTATGTGCACCTTCCTCTAATTTCTGTTTGGGTTGGTCTCAGCATTCACTGTCCTCTGCAAATTTCCTGTACTTTTCCGTTGCTCATGCCCTGCCTTAAATCTGAAATATCTTTTACTTGTCTGCAAATTTCCAAATCTTTCTCTTCCAAATGATATTGCTCATGAAATTGTTTTTTCTTTTCTTTTCTTTTTTTAAGATTTATTTTATTTATACAAGCACTGGGTACAGTCAGAAGCACGGGAGGGTGAGAGAATTCACCAGAGCCAGAGTAGGGAACAGAACAGGCAGACGAAATACACTGCTGAGGGGAGCAGTGGGCACAGCAGGAGAGGTCTGTGCACCATGTGGGACCCTCGCTGGCGGCCGGGGATCGAACCAGCACTGCAGAGGCTGCGGGCAACTTTGCAGCCCAGCGCTCAACTGCTGCACCACAGGGGAGGCCCTGTTTTTTATTTTCTTAACTAGCAATTCAATTCTTCTAAAATTTCCAGTGATTTAATCTGTAACTGAAATTTCTGGTATATTTCACTGTCTATCTTATTTATGTTCTGATTATTTTCTAAAATCCTAGTGTTAAAGGAAAATAGGATCTGGGTCTCACTCTTCATCATATCCTTTGTAGCAAACAACACTGAGTCTTATGTACAATACATCTTTGGAGAATGATGAGTGGTATATATGTCACACTCACAAATACAAAGGAAATATAGTTGACTTTAGCAAGCATAAGGATGCCTGATTTCTTATAGGTATTTCTAAAGATGAGCAAAGATACCATTTTGGTACATTCCCACTATAGAAAGGAGTTGCTGAAAAATACTTTCTGGCAGTGGGCATCCTCAGAACATTAGAAGCACGGGATCATGAGTGCAGTGTCCTGATACCCATGATAAAGGGTGAGCCGCAGGCAGGTTGGCAGGTGACAAAATATTTGATTGTTGTGTGCCAGGTGTACCACGTTGATGCCTGGGATATAGTGGTTAGTTCAACAGACGTGGGAGTAACTGGGAGCAAGTGGGTCAGATGTCTGGCTGTTAATTACGTAGTAGATTTATGGATCTGCTTACCTAGTTGGCTTTATATTAAACGTGACTTAATGTCTGCTGCTTGTCTTGTTCTAAGGCCTTACTGGGTGTCCTTAAGGCAGTGATAAGATTTAGAAGAAAGCTCCCACATGTGCTATGGAGCCAAATTTCTATGGCTGGTTTTTGTTTGTTTTTAAATAAAGGTAATATATTCATGCTAGGTATCATGACATCCATAATTAATTATTTATTGTTTGAAAAGATAACATCTACATATAATACTTATCAGGGGTTAAAGGGACTGTCCCACTGTTATCTAGTCCCCCTCCATGTGTTCCTCTGCCCCTTGCTTTTTCACTTAACTTCATATCTTAGGATCGTTCCATAAATGTGCATATACATTTGTCTTCTGGACATTCCCCTACTGATCGGCATTAAATTTGTTCTTCTACCCCCAACACCCTCCCCATCCCATCCCCCCACCGCCAGCTATTACAGACTATACATTGGCCACTTTTGTGCAGATACGTCTCCAGGACTTGTAAGGGTGTATTTCTAGGAAAATAATCCCTAGCAGCAGAATAGATAGGTTAAAGGGTATGTATGGCTGATTTTGTTTGTTCTGTTGGTCAGTTAAAAATTTTGATATTGCCATATTTCCTCGAAAGACATACCACCGATTAATACTTCCACCAGTGGACAGGAGAGTGCCTGTTAGAGAGCAGAGCTTTTTACAGGTGATTTGTCCTCCTGTGTTGCAAAAACAGACTTTCTAATCCTCGCAGGTAATTGCATGTGGGACAATGATAAGTTTTACTTTTTATTTGTCTAGTAATGGATTAGAATTGAATCCCTAACTCTTGGATTTTTCTCATTAGAAAAGTGTGAAATATTACAAAGATGAGAGGTTTTAGGGTAGGTGAGCTGTGGCTCAAATGTTAGTTGTCTTCCTACTGTGCTATCATCCCCTTCCCGATGCCCATTTTGTCTTCTCTTTGAGATCATTTCCTGACATATAAATTATGAACATTAGCACCACCTGATGAAGTTACTGTGGGGATTAAGTTAGATTACGTATGTAAATTACATGTTACAGTGCCTTTTACATTGTCTTTCCTCCTCTTTTGTACGAGTGACCTGAAAGCTGTAAATCAACAGGGCCCTTCTAAGCATCCTCTCAGGGTAGCTGCCTTAGCTCCCTGAGGCCACATGGCCCTGGTCATACTCGGAATCCATCAAGCAAATGTGTCTTTTATCACCATCAGCTCCTTGCCTCTGACTTGGGCACTACTTAGGTAATTTCTGTGCCTCCGTAGATGTCATCGTGCCTGAGAATGGAGAACCAGTATGCACCAGAGAGATCAAATGCTGCATCAGACAGATCCAGGAACTCATCATCTCTCAGCTTAATCAGGCTGTGGCCAACAAGCTGATCAGCTCAGTGGATTACCTGCGTGAGAGCTTTGTTGGTACCCTGGAACGGTGTCTGCAGAGCCTGGAAAAATCTCAGGATGTCTCGGTTCACATCACCAGTAATTATCTCAAACAGGTATTCAAATACCGTGTCACAAATCACACATGAAGCACAGCCCACACACAAGCCTGACGCCAGGCTAGCCAAGAGTTTCCCTGTAGGCTTTTTTTTTTTTTTTTTTTTTTTTAAAGATTATTTATTTATTTATATAAGCACTGGGTACAGTCAGAAGCGTGGGAGGGTGAGAGAATTCACCAGAGCCAGGGCGGGGAGCAGAGCAGGCAGAAGGACCGAAGTACACTGCTGAGGGGAGCAGTGGGCGGCAGGAAAGGTCTGCGCGCCTTGTGGGACCCTCCTCCGGTGGCCGGGGAGCAGCCGGGGATCGAACCGGCGCCGCAGAGGCTGCGGGCAGCTTCACAACCCAGCGCTCAACCGCTGCGCCACTGGGGAGGCCCTCCCTGTAGGCTTTTGACTGATAAGAGTTTGAAATTTTGTTTCCCCCTGCATCATGACCATTGTGGGTGGGAGCTGCTTATGAAGTTGCAGTTAAGTTGTGAGGAAGATGATGAAGATGAAGGAGCCAAACAGTCACAAACTAGATAATCAACCTGTGCTGACTCTGCACCTAGATACTTGGGAACCTTCAGATTGGACTTTAGTCCTTTTCCATTCACTTTTAGTTGAGGAAACATTATATAAGTTTCAGGTGTGCCTCTGCCTACCCTACATTAAGGTCACCACGAGAAGTCCAGTTCTGTCCTTCACCATGCAGTTGTCTTCATTGTCCTAGTTTACCCACCTCTCCCCTTTGGATTGGGTTCTTGAAATAAATATCATTTACTGCATTTTTAAAATAAGTCATTCAGGGCTTATTGATCGTCTTTTGTGTGTTTCTTTTCTTTCAGATCTTAAATGCCGCTTACCATGTTGAAGTGACATTTCACTCAGGGTCCTCGGTCACTAGGATGCTGTGGGAGCAAATCAAACAGGTAGAGATTGCTTAGAGAAAAAGTTTCAGCTCCTAGCTGGCGCAAATGAATCTTAGTCGCTCACAGAGAACTGACACCAACGGTATTCTGTTAGTTCAGGGAGGCTATTTGCCTACCTGAAATGATTCTGGTTTATAACTGCCTCCCTGGTGGTACAAGGGATTGAGTTTCAGCACTGTGAAGCTATCCACAACCACTGCAGCACGAGTTCATTTCCCATCCAGGGAGCTGACCCACATGGCGCAGCAGACCTCTCCTATCTCACCTGCTGCTCCCCTCAACAGTATATTTCAGTGGATCCACCTGTTCTGCTCCCCACTCTGTCTCTGGTGAATCTTCTCACCCTCCGCACCTCTGGCCCTACACCCCAGCTCTTGTGTGCATAAATAAATAAAATCTTTAAATATGTATATATTGACATTGCTCCCATTGGCTCTTAAAGTGGTGGGTTTAAATGACTTTACAGAGCCATAAGACTCCACTTCACCAGCTTTTTCATTTTCACCCCTCCCAACCTAAATGTTACGTTAGAACCAGACTTTGTTGCTGGAGGATGGGAATGTGATGTGGCTCTTATGTAGAGTTATTTACTGACTTCAGAAAAGAATTTCTCAAGCACTCCTTGATACTGAATTTAATGTTCTGAGTGTTTGTGAGCACATAGACTGGGGCTGGTATTTTTTGATGCTTTCCTTTGAGCCAAGCCCTGATTTTGACGTAATAGAAGAAAGGGGTCTTGTCTTGATGGAGCTCCTGCCTTAAGAGCCTGCTCCTCATGATTGGGTTACCCAGAAAGAGAAGGACGTTGCCCATCCCTCAGTGCTCTCAACTGTCCTCATCCTGACAGATCATCCAGCGCATCACATGGGTGAGCCCACCCGCCATTACTACAGAGTGGAAGAGGAGGGTGGCCCAGGAAGCCATTGAGAGCCTCAGTGCCTCCAAGCTGGCGAAGAGCATTTGCAGCCAGTTCCGGACTCGGCTCAATAGTTCCCATGAGGCTTTTGCAGCCTCCTTGAGGCAGGTGAGTTTGTAGGAAAGGAGGTGGGTTGGACCCAGCAGAGATGAAACTCAGCAACCAGGGAATAGGTTGCGTCTGCTTGCTGTATAATTGTTTTTAAATCATCAGTAATTTCTATTCTGTTGAATGATAATATGTTACAAGAAGTTTCATCAATAAATTTTTCACATGGATCTTTTTCTAACTGGAGCAAAGGGAGGGAGCTCAGTTAATTTCCCATTTCACTGAGTAAGGAATAAATATTGAGGGGTAGAGATTTTATATAAGTTTATATAGCATTTTAGCAATGAATGACAGAAAGAGATGACTTTCCAGTTTTATGCTAGTTCACAAGCAAGTAATATCTGCTTGTCACTTTGGGGGTGTGTATATGTGTTGGGGGCAGGGATGGTAGGTAAATGTGATTATGCATCCAGACGGAAAAATTATTACCTGCTGAGAACCTGGTGCATGTCATTCTCAGAGCTAAATGTTAAATATACCTTATTTAACCCTCATGACTATCCTTATGAGGTAAGTATTTTTCCTCCTATATAACAGGTAAGGAAACCAACACTAGGGACTTGGTAAGTCATTTTTTTCTTTTATGATTTCCTTCCAGTTGGAAGCTGGTCACTCGGGCCGGCTGGAGAAAACTGAAGATCTGTGGCTGAAGGTTCGGAAAGATCACGCCCCGCGCCTGGCCCGCCTGTCTCTGGAAAGTCGTTCTTTACAGGACGTCTTGCTGCATCGTTAGTCCTTTTTCATTCCTAAGTAAACTGGAGGGTTCTGCATACCTCACATTCTCATGTCAGACTGGGAGAATCCCATTGTCTAAAGCTGCTTTCTTGTGAAGCTGCATGAGCAGCCACTGATGTTTTTTAATTCCTGAAGCCTGTTTGACCCTCCCATTTATATAGTTCAAAAACATGACCAAAGTTTATTTAAATCAAACCAGTTCTGTTACTTTCTACTGGCTTTGGGATGACACCAGAATTTCTTCCACTGGCATGATTACAGCTTCCTGCTTTTAGGCAGTTCCACATCTAAGAGTCTTGGGTGTTGCCCAGCAATCCTCCTGCCCTCCTGCTTCACCTCTGTTTCTGTTTCTTATAGGTAAACCCAAGCTGGGACAGGAACTGGGCCGAGGCCAGTACGGTGTGGTGTATCTATGTGACAACTGGGCAGGACACTTCCCTTGTGCCCTTAAATCCGTTGTCCCTTCAGATGAGAAGCACTGGAATGACCTGGCATTGGAGTTTCACTATATGAGGTAGATTGTGGTCTATTCTTTATGGGAAAAATTCCCGAAAGAAGAAGCCAGAAACCTGGTATAAGTTTTGTACCAAGAGTTCTAGCATGCCATGTCTCCCCCAGGCCAGGTCTCAGAATGTTAAAGGCTAGTTTTTGTTTCTGCTATCTCTGCTGTTCCTTCCTTCACTACCCTGCTTTCTCAGGTTACTCCTTCCTTTCCTTTTCTTCCTTAGTTGTGAAGGCCTATCGACTTTCAAATTCCATAATTCTTTGTCCTTGTTAGAGAGGTCATCCTCTCGGCCCTCTGCACTGAAGACCTGGGCCCAGAGTGGCCTCCAGCTTGTTCCTTCCCCAGGTGGTGCACTATGCAGGCCACAGTCGGCCTGGAGCCCAGCCCTGTCTCCTTCCGCAGGTCTCTGCCGAAGCATGAGCGCCTGGTGGACTTGCATGGATCCGTCATCGACTACAGCTATGGTGGGGGCTCCAGTGTGGCCGTGCTGCTCATCATGGAGCGGCTGCACCGGGACCTCTACACGGGGCTGAAGGTGAGGGGCCCGCAGGGCCAGCCGCAGGCAGAGCCAGGCTCCCGGGGACTGTCATCTTCCCTGTTTATTCAGTGCCTTCACGCTCATAAAACACTGTGGGCATAATCAAGCTTCACTACCCTCTTTTCTAAAAAACTTTAAAAATTTCTCAGAATCTTAAGGCAGAATTAAATCAATAGAGTAATAGTGAAATGTGTGTTTAAAAAAAAAAACTCAGAATCTATTTTAGACCCAGTCTATACCAGAATACTATAATTCACCAATTTACGTCCTGTGGTGGTAAAAGTCTAGACTACTTAGAAGAGCAGAAAATTTTGCTTCTTGTACTTCTGCATTCTGTCCTTTTTTCGTTCTCAGCAGATAAAGCCAATTTTGGTTATATAGCAAATTTATTAATGACTGTTTTGTGCAAGCCTCTGTGTTCAGCATCATAGGGAATAGCAAAAAGTGTCCATTGCCAGGAACTTTTCGGATAATCGTAGTCAATAAAGACTTCATAGAGGTGTGGCATCTGTGTCTGATAAGCACAGCTCGATGTATAGATGGGGGCAGTTAGAAAGGAGTGGCCATGTCAGGGGAGGCCTCGCATGCCACCGGGCAGCTGAAGGCCCATGAAGACTGGGCCATGTGGAGCAGCTGGTTCCTTTTAGGAGCACAGGGAGGTAATGTGCAAAGCAACATCAGAAACAAATTAGACAGAAACTAGAAATGCTTAGAATTCCCAAAGATTTCACATTCTGAGAAGCTATTGAAAGATTTTAGTTGGCCTTCCTGGTGGCACAGGGGGTTGAGCACTGCACTGTGGAGCAATCCACAGGCTCTGTAGCACGAGTTCAATTCCCAGCCTGCCAGGGAGCAACCCACATGGCACAGCAGACCTCTCCTGGCTCGCCCGCTGCTCCCCTCAGCAGTGTACTTTGGTCAATCTGCCTGTTCTGTTTCCCACTGTCTCTGGTGAATCCTCTCACCACCCCCATCTCTGGCCTGTACCCCAGCTCTTGTATGCATAGATAGATAAATCTTTAAAAAAAAAGAAGAAGAAGAAGAAGAAAGATTTTAGTTGATTGAAATGAAGTATCTCAGTTGCTGATGAATTTCCCTTACCTGAAACAGCCATCAACAGGGAAGTAGAGGGGTTTAGAGGGGTTTCTTTTGTCTGTTCCCTGCATTGGCAAATGTAACCCCAGACAACCTGGGTAGGTTTCTGGTCATGTGGAAACTTTCAGAAGTAAAGCAGAAGGAACCTGGGAACTGTCTTCAGGAACCATGAGAAATCAGTGTCAGGAGGAGGACTCTACAAGTAGCTTGCCCTCTTCGTTTCAGAGGATTGAGGCTCAGCATGGGCCACAGCTTTTCTAGAGAACCATATTTGAGCTTTTTGCTGAGTGATGTAGTGCTCTCCAGAATTCAAGAGACCCTAAATCAGAGGCTTGATTTCAAGATCAAGAAGCAGAATGAGTGACTTTGGTATTTGAATCCATAAAATGAAACCTGGGCTAACCAGGCCTACAAAGCAATGGACATAAATGTCTGAGGGTCCTGGAAGTACTTCTCAGCCCCCTAGTGTGTGGGGGGCTTAGAAATGAGCTCGTGCCTTCAGTCATTAGTGCCTCCTGGTCACATTTGGGGGTTGTCTCTAAGAGGTTTTACCCTGCCTTGCTTTTCCTCCTTGTCCCTCTTAACTGCTTTCCTCTTCCCTTTTTTTTCAATCCACTTTACTGTCCTTGTGTACCCCACAGAGGGAACTCAGTTGATTCAAGCAAGTTAGTGACATGTAAGCTCTTTTGTATCCCCAAGGCTGGCCTGACCCTGGAGAAACGTTTACAAATAGCCCTAGATGTGGTGGAAGGAGTCCGTTTCCTGCACAGCCAGGGGCTTGTCCATCGTGATATCAAACTGAAGAATGTGCTGGTAAGTAAGAGCTGCTTGCCCAGAATAACACCCTGCCACTGTTCAGGAAGCAGCCCCTTTGGAGGGTTGGTGTCATTTAACTGGTCCCCAGAGGGCTGGAGGAGCGTAGGAGCTTGACAGCAGGTGGTGGGTGGGACCTTGGACTCAGACCTTAGGAGGAGCTACTCCATAAGTATAACGTGCATTGCTCAGGGATTTTTTTTTTTTAACCCCAACAACATAAACTAACAGAAAAGGTAAGGTAGTACAGTGAAGATCATCATGCCCTTAACTTGGTTTGTATTCTCGCCTCTTTCTCCAGTGGCCTTAGTCTCTGTGTGTCTCTCTTTCTTTGCCCTCTACTCTCACTTTTTTTTTTGAACCATATAGAAGTAATTTCAGATAACACTTTGTTCCTGAATACTTCAGGTTGTATCACCTGACATTCTTCTATGTAATGAAAAAAAGGACGTTCTTCTATGTAATGAAAATGCCATTATCGCACCCAAGAAATTTAATGTTCATATAATACTATTAGTTAATATTTTGCATTTGTTCCAGATATACCCAGTTATCCCAAATATGATTGGTTTGTTTGATCTGGGTTCTTCTCCAGGGATCTTAGAGTGTATTTTGTTGTCAGTTTCTTTAGCCTCCTGTAATCTAGACTATTTTTTTTTTTTTCACTTTTATGACCGATATTTTTGAGGATTCCAGATCTTGAGTATGATCATGCTAGATGAGGGCTGAGATGGGTAAATGCACCTTAAAAGGTAAGACAGTCATGAACCCACTAGTCCTCTTATCTAAATTATAAAGTATTTTTTGAAATACTTCTCCTGAAAGTGTATTGGATTATCATTGAAGTGTTTTCTGACAATATTTAAATAATGTATGAAGATGACAGCAGTTTAGGGAAAGATCTTACTAAAATTATAACCTGAAATGTAGGAGGCTTATCAATAGCTAAATGATACGTAGGTTTATTTTCTTGGAACTTTAGGAGAGAAAATGACAGGGAATTCAAGAAGTTCTTCTCAGCTGACCAGAGGCTGTCAACCTTCTGACTCATCTACATTCTGCCTTAGAGTGTGGCAGTCAGATAAGAATTACTTTCCTGGGCCTCCCCGGTGGCGCAGTGGTTGAGCGTTGGGTTGCGAAGCTGCCCGTGGCCTCTGCGGCACCGGTTCGATCCCTGGCTGCTCCCCTGCCACCGGAGGAGGGTCCCACATGGCGCGCAGACCTCTCCTGCCGCCCGCTGCTCCCCTCAGCAATGTACTTCAGTCCTTCTGCCTGCTCTGCTCTCTGCTCTGGCTCTGGTGAATTCTCTCACCCGTGCTTCTGACTGTACCCAGTGCATGTATAAACAAAACAAACAAACAAACAAACAAATAAATAAATAAAACATGCCTCTATTTAAAAAAAAAAAAAAAAACTACTTTCCTCAGTGTCCTTGTTTATTCATTCTTCCAAGTTTGTTAAGCTCCTGGTCAGCTCCATGTGCTATGTGCTGGGACTACAAGGATGGAAGAGACAGTCCCTGCCATCAGGTTGCTTGCGATCTGGGGAGAAGACAGTAACAAGACTGAATCTGGTGACGGGGAGATTAGAAAAGGCCTGATTATATAAATACTACTTTGAGGTAGTATTTACCTACTTTTGAGATTGGGTGTACAGGGCCTCCCTAGTGGTGCAGGGGTTAAAGTCTCAGTGCTATCAAGCTGTCAACAGCCACAGTGGCATCCCCAGCCAGGAAACTGACCCACATGGTGCAGCAGACCTATCCTGTCTCACCCTCTGCTTCCTTCAGCAGTGTATTTCAGTAGATCCACCTATTCTGCTCCGTACTCTGTCTCTGGTGAATCCTCTCACCCCCTCCTCCCACCTCTGGCCTACACCCCAGTTCTTGTGTGCATAAATAAATAAATCTTAGAGAGAATGGGTAGGCAACTGAGTGTGGGTGCAAGGTCAGCCCCAGGGTGACTCTCGCTCTGCTTGCTGACAGCTGGACAAGCAGAACCGGGCCAAGATCACTGACTTGGGATTCTGCAAGCCAGAGGCCATGATATCAGGCAGCATCGTGGGGACGCCAATCCACATGGCCCCTGAACTTTTCACAGGTAAGCTGAAGGGCAGGGAGGGGGTTTGGGCAATGCTCTGTACTTTAATCCTGAGTGCTACCCCTTGTGGTACAAGCAAGGGAGAAACCAGAGGAAGGGAAACCTAAGACAGGTGAGGGGGAAAATGAAGACATAAAGGACAAGGATAAGTGCAAATGGGAGTCACTAGCTATTCTTTTAGATGTCTCTGGGTTATTAATGCCATTATTGCCATAATCAACCAATTAAAGTATTGATTGATTAACTTTATATATAATAGTTGTCGCCTATCATTAAACACCTTATAGTTGTCAGATATATTGTACAGAGGCAAAATAATTAGGTAGCAGTATCAGACAGCATATGATTAAGTGCTAAATTAAGTGCTACTTAATGTAATATTGGTGTCCAAGAAGTGATCAATGAAGGTTGAAATGTTTGGTTTTGTGGTAGAGGTATGATTTCAGCTAGAATTTGAGTCAAATCTGGAAAAACCGATAGGCAGGGAGAGAACATATTAAATAAATCCTTTGAGTTAGACAGTGGTTTTTCCCCTTCATATATTTAATCCATTTGATCCTCACAATAATTCTGTGGTGATGTTAATGCATTTTTATGTCGATATCATGGATAAAGTTAAGTCTAGCCAAGATTGATTTAAAAAGCTACCCCAGAACATTGAACTACAAAGCGGTGGGATTGGAATCTAGGTCCTCTGTCTTTAGAAGTCAATCATGGATCTTGAAGGAGAAACATGAAGAAAATCAGAGTAGAAATAAGCATGACAAGGTGAAATCTATTTGGGGAGTAGTAGCAGACAAAGTTGGAGATAAACTGCATTGAACTTGAAATTCATGGGGCTTGATATGGAAAAAGTAAGGGGCTATTGAGCTTTTGGAGGTGAGGGAGGAAAGAAAATATTTATGGGGGCCTCCCTGGTGGTGCAGGGGTTAAAAACAGCGCTATCAAGCTATTGCCAGCCAGGGAGCTGACCCACAGGAGCAGCGTATTTCAGTCATTCTGCCTGTTTTGTTCCCCACTCTGTCTCTGGTGAATCCTCTCACCACCACATCTCTGGCTTACACCCCAGTTCTTGTATGCATAAATATATAAATCTTTTTTTTAAAAAAGAAAATATTTATGGAAAATTAACAGCAACATACGTAAAGGGGTTATGAATGGCAAGAACCAAGGTAAGGGTATCAGTGGTGGTTGTCTCCAAGATTACATTGGTGGTGGTGCTGAAACCAAAAAAAGTAACAGATTTGAGATCAATTCAGAGGTTGAAGGGTGCACGATGTTCTTGATATGAGTGACAAACAGAAAAGAATAACGCTGATGTGAATGTGGAGTGTGTAAGTCTTTTCATATTACAGTGTTCATGTGCTTAGAGTAAGTACCTGGCAGTGGTATTGCTAGATCATAGGATCTCTCCATTTTTATTTTTTTAAGGTATTACCATGCTGCTCTCCATAGAGGCTGCCCCAAGTCACATTCCCATCAACAGTGGATGAGTGTTCCCTTTTCTCCACACCCTTGCCAGCGTTTAATCTTTTTCCTTTTTAAAAAAATACATATGGGCCATTCTTACAGGGGTACAGTGGTATCTTATTGTCATTTTGATTTGCATTTCCTTATATTAAGAGATGTTGACCATTTCTTCACATTCCTGTAGGTCTTCTGAAATGCCTTCTTTGAAGAACTCTCTGTTTAGGTCTTTTGTCCATTTTTTATTGGGTTGTTTTTGTTGTTGTTGAGTTATGTATTAGTTTTTTATGTATTTTGGAAATTAGCTCCTTGTCAAATGTGTGAAATGCAAATATCTTCTCCCAGTCCCTAGGTTGCCTTTTTGTTTTGGTGGTGGTTTCTTGCAAGGTACAAAAACTTTTTAGTTTGATGTAGTCCTATGTATTTATTTTTGCTTTCATTTCCCTTGCTGTTGGAATTGTGGCACCAAATACATCTCTGTGGTTGATGTTCATAGTGTATTACCTGTGTTTTCTTTCAAATATTTTGTGATTTCAGGTCTTAGAGCTAAGCCTTTAATCCCTTTGGAGTTGATTTTTGCATATGGAGTTAAATGATCTAGTTGCCTTTTTTTGCATGTGGCCGCCCATGCTCCCCAACACCACTATTAAAGAGGCTTCCTCTCTCCACTGTGCATCATGGCTACTTTGTCACAGACCAACTGTGGTTGTCTGGACTATTTTGTTCCATTGGTTTCTGTTTGTGTTTTATTTTTGTGCTGACACCATACTGTTTTGATCACAATGCTGTGTAGTCTAGTTTGAAGTCAGGGTGTAGGATCCTCCATTTTTCTTCATTTCTCTCAGGATTGCTTTGAGTATTTGGGGCTTTTTATGGTTTCATAGAGATTTTATAATTGTTTTACAACTTCCTTGAAAAAAGTCATTGGAATTTTGATAGGTATTGTGTTAAACCTGTAAATTCTAAAAGTAATATGGTTACTTTAACAATGTTTATTCTTCTAATCCATGAATATAGGCTAACTTTCCACTTCTTTGTGTCTTATTTTATTTTCTTTAACAATATCTTATAGTTTCCAGTGTATATGTCTTTCACTTCCTTCATTAAGTTTACTCCCAGGTATGGCATTTAATTTCTTTCTTCTACTTCAGTGTGTGTGTGTGTGTGTGTGTGTGTGTGTGTGTAAATACATATATACACACACACATATATGTATGTAGACAATACAGCTGATTTTTGTATCCTGCCACTTACCTGTATTCATTTATTTATATTATAAAATTAACATGATCAAAATCATTGTGATTTTGACTTTCATTTCCTATATTAAGTGATGTTGAAATTTCTTCTTGTGCTGGTGGGACATCTGAATGTCATCTTTGAAGCAGTGTCTATTTAAGTCTTTTGCCCAAATGCTTTTCAGTACCTATTGAAATAATCGTGTGAATTTTATCTTTTAGTAGTCTTTTTGATTGTGTGTACTTTATGTCATCTGTGAATAGTGCTATTCTTTTCCAATTTGGATTCATTTTTTTGTCTTTTTCTTTCCTAATCACTCTGGTGAGGACTTCAAACATTATGGTAAACACCAGTGGTAAAAGTGGACATCCTTGGGGAAATGCTTTCAGTTTTTCACCATTGAGTGTAATGTTGACTGTGGATTTGTCATATATGGCCTTTTTTAAGATTATTGAGATAAATTCCATTTATTCCCATTTTATTGAGTTTTTATCATAAATGGATGTTGAATTTTGTCACATGTTTTTTTCAGTACTTACTGAAATGATCGTGAGTTTTATCTTTTTGTTGATTGGTATTGAATGACATTGATAGATTAGTGTATGTTGAACCAATCTTGCATCCCTGGAATGAAACCTACTTGATCATGATGGATGATTTTCTTAATATATTACTGAGTTTGATTTGCTAAAATTTTATCGAGGATTTTTGCATCTAGGTTTATCAGAGATACTGGCTAGTAGTTTTCTCCTTGTGTGCTGTTCTTGTTTGGTTTGGGAATAAGGGTAATTTTGGCTTCATAGAGTATTTAAGGAGCTTTCCCACCATCTCATTTTTTTGAAGATTTGATAGAATTCACTAGAGAAACTACCTGGTCCTGGGTTTTTTGCTTTTAGGAAGACTTGACTGCTCTTTTGATCTTTGCTTGTGATTGACCTGTTTAAGCTGTTTACCTCATCCTGGTTCAGTCTTAGAAAGTTGTAGGAGTCTGAAAATATGTCCATTTCTTCTAGATTATCCAGTTTGTTTGCATAGAGATGATGTTACAGGTTCCTACATGATCCTTTTTATTTCTCTGGTGTCATAATTTTGCCTCTTATTTGTGATTGTTTTCATTTGAGTTCTCCCTTCTTAGTGAGCCTAGCTCAGTTAACATGTTTTCTTCATATTGCCGCCTACTCTAAAGCATGATTGACTCCTGCTGCCCAGAGTCCAGATTCTTCTGACTTTAAAAATCCTTACATTCTGGTTCCGACCTACCTACCTACTTGTATTTCCAAATACGACCTTTCAGGATTAATCATTTTGCCTTCCCATTAAAATGAAAGGCCTCTTTTCCTTTCCTTTGGTCAATTTCTAGTCTTGGCTCTCTTAATATCTAATACCTTCCAGCGTCATCATTTTTCATACTTTAAAATGCATGTTATAAATGGGGTTGCCTGACAGAGTTGTTATGAAAGATGATGAACTTTAAAGGCTTTACCAAAAAACGTGTCAAGACTGCGAGACAGTGATGATGCTGCTGTTTTCTCTTCCTGGCTCCCGACTTTGTCCTCCTTTGCTGTTATAGGGAAGTATGATAACTCCGTGGATGTCTACGCTTTCGGCATTCTTTTCTGGTATATCTGCTCAGGCTCCGTCAAGCTCCCTGAGGCATTTGAGAGGTGTGCCAGCAAAGACCATCTCTGGAACAATGTGCGGAGAGGTAAGAGCTGCTTCAAGTCTCTCTTTGTCCTAACTCCCCTGGTGAGAACAGACACCCCGTAGGTACCTCCTGCCACCCTCTCCAGCCACTCCACAGCCTGACTGCATGCACATTTATAAACTGTTAAGGAATCCAAAGAAGACATTTAAGTCAAACCTTTGCTTAGGTAGCATTTTTCTGAACTGCCTTAAAGAAGTTTTTCCCTTTAAATTTTCCAATTCTTCAGCTTCCTTCAACTTGCTAGCATGTTTCAGGTTTTCATCACGATTAGGTTCTCACCTAGCTAATTGTTGCAGTGGAAGCCAAAACTTATTGCATTCCCTAGCAGCCCAAGCCCCAGCTGGATAGCAGCTTTGAGCTGACCACGCCTCTTTGTTGTGTTAGTTCCCCTCTCACTGACTCTGGTCTGATTTCCATGCTCCTTTCTTCTAAGGGGCCCGTCCAGAACGTCTTCCTGTGTTTGATGAGGAATGCTGGCAGTTGATGGAAGCCTGTTGGGATGGTGACCCTTCTCAGAGACCTCTTTTGGGCATTGTCCAGCCCATGCTCCAAGGCATCATGGACCGGCTATGCAAGTCAAAATTTGAGCAGCCAAACAGAGGACTAGATGACTCTACTTGAAAGCCAATACCTTTTAATTTCATACTCTTATTTCTTTCCTTTCCCTCACCTTTTGGCTGTGAGGAGAACTTGACATTATTCATTACAGTGAGCTCTCAAGGGAGCTGTTGGCTGGGCAGCGTGAGACTTTCCCAGGCAGAGCTGTCTTGGGATGGCTGTTTGAGCATATTCAACAGTTCACTACCCCCACCTCCCCAGCTGTCCCTGCAGCACATTGTCGAGGGCACATGTAACAGCTGGAGAACGCAGTGCTCTGGCTTTGGAACTGAAAAGAGGGTCCACGCTACCATGGTCCACTCTGCTCACGGCCGAGTGGGACACCGCAATGCAATAGTATTAAAAGCTATCATTTTCATAATTTTGACTCTAGTTAGGTATAGTTTGGTTCTACCGAATCGTCAGCACCCTTAGAAAATTTGAGCTTGGTTCTGGGATTGTTGGGACATAGGAACAAAAAAAAAACTTGCGGATGCCTTGTTCCAGCCACCTACACCCAGATTTCAGGTTGCAAAGGTCAGAGGTCCCCATGAGGGAGCCAGAAACAAAGCATGTGCTCTGTACGTGCCAGTGAGTTTACATATATAGAACCACAAAACCTGATTTTGGGGGGAGGATTTCACAGTTAAATTTCCTAGATGCCACAAGGAAAAAAATGAACTCTGCAAATGTGTGAGCACACTAGTGGATTTTGAGTTACTACTAACCCTTGGACTAGGTTGTTCTTCTCCCCTGGGGTTTTGAAAAAAAATTTTTTTAATCTCAAGATGGGTAAGCACCAATTAACATGGTACTTAGGAGTGTCAGATAAAACTGACCCAGTGTGAAGTATTTGTTTGGAGCCTCCAGACAAAACCCACTAGGAGGACACTAGTTTGTTTTTTAAACCTAAAAGGTATCAGAAACTTCTTTCTGTGTTCTAACAACACTGATATTTTTAAAACTTATCAATGAGATTTTTAACCAAGATTTCTTCTGCAATTTGTCCCATCTTTTTATCTTATCTGAAGTATCTTATTAGGGAGAAAAAAACAGAACCAGATGAGAACACTCTTTGTAGTTGTGTGTGTACTCTCACTGTGTGTGAGTGGGGAGGTTTCCCTTCCTGGCACCTAGGAAGGGGGATTGTGGTCATCAGGAGAGTTTGTCATGAAATGTCTATTAGAAGAAAAACTGCAGACAAAAGAAGGGAAACGAACATTGGTACTTCTCAGATCTTGGCTTCAAACTTCCCTCAATCAAAATGGTCTATTAGATTTAGAAAAACAAGTGGGGAAGGAACAGACACAAGTGGGGAACGAACAGACAGTGGAAGTGAGCGGCCTCTGTCCACCGCCTGTGGCCTGGCCCTTCGTGTGTGAAGCAGGTCCCTGAGTAGGCATGCGCTGATGGGCAGATTTGCTGCTGAAATTTTCTAGGGCTGTTTGTGACAGAATCGCCATTCTTAGCTATTACCAGGGTATAATTGGAGTCTATAAGAACATTTGCATGTGACTTTCCAAGTTTCATTTCAACTCTTTGACTATCCTGGGGTCTGATATGATACATTTGAACACAGTTGCCCCCCTCAGCACTTGCAGCTCCACACAGTGCACATGATAAAGTGTGCACATGATAAAGTGACCCCGTTTGTTTGGGTTCTACAGGCTCCAGCCCTATTTTGGTGGAATGTTCAGTATCTCTTAGAAGTTTGAAAACCTACTTAGCTATACCTTGAGTCACTCTGTTCTTGTCAGCATTAGCTCATTGTCCTTTTAGGGACCCTGATGGAGCTTCCAGAAGGCCAAACTTGAAGACAAAAAAGGAGAGATGAGTAGTGTAAGTCTGTTCTGTATGAAATTTAGAAAAAGGTCTTATGTAGTGTCCTTTTCCAGATGTCTTCTAACCTCACCATGCACAGGAGCCTGCGTGCTCATCATGGAGACCATATTCTTACCATTTTGCAAAGTGCTAACTTCTGTACTCACTCCACTGGGAGGTTTTCAGAGTTCTTTTTCCGTTCATCCCTGTAGCTGCTTCTGCTCTCAGACACCAGTTTCCTAGCAGATTACCTACATTTTTTTGCCTGTTGGTAGGGTAGAAGAGAGGGACCCATTCTAAGAAAAGAGAAGTAGTCATATTCCAGTTCGTTTTAAAAAAAGTATTCTGAGAAAAGGTGCAAAATATCCCTGAAGGTCTACGGGCCAGCCAAAGTCTACAAACTGGTATTTGGAGGTGTTATTTAAACACTCAGCGGGCTGAGTGCAGGAATGTCTGTATAGTGTGCGTATACTCTGCTTTTGTTTTATAACGTCAGCTAATTTGGAATCTTTGTTCCTCGGCACCCATTATCAGTAAAGAGATGGAATGCCAGGAGACGTACTGTATTGTACCTTACTTGGGAATACACTGGGTATTCAGAGAAGTCAGGTAGCACTTGGGCTGCAGAGGACTTGGCATGGCCAAAGGCCTGCAGGTCTAGCTTTGGTGGTAGCTCCCAACCTGTGAGGTGACTGTGGCTGGGGGAGGAAGAAGGAACGAATGAAAGAATTAGCCTTGCTGTGCTCTATCCTTCTCAGCTACTTACTTAGTACCGCTTAGCCCCACCCTGAACACGAGCACCTGGCCGTTTTTAATGTTCTCAAAGTCAAGTTACTTACTTTACTTCAGAACTGAATGGTGACGAATCTTTCTGCCGGGCAGTGAGGAGAAATGCTGGGGGCCCGGCACAGTGGCTGACCCTGTGGCCAGGCAGCTAGCAGCAGGTCAGCGTGGGTGGGGTCTCCACAGATGCCCTAGTTCCCTTCATCCTCTGCAGAGGGGTTCAGGGGCTGACTGGAAGGAGACTGTACTCGTCTTCCCCAGACCAAAGAGAGTCAGCGGCTCCATCGATTTCAAGGGGGCAGACGCCAGACTGCAGCCTCCTCATTTTTAACACTACATTTCAAGGAAAGAGAGGAGGAAAGGATACATTCCTGCCACAGAATTGGGGGGATGGTCGGGCTCCCACCGTTGGCAGTCAGCTCAGATGCATTTTTGTGTCTCTGCTAGAGCTACCAAAGGGAGGCTGGGCAAGTTCCCTGAGGAGAGAAGTGGCTTGGGGAATGGGGTGGCAGGACCTCGGAGTGTGAGCTGCACTGAGTGACACTTTATTTCTCGGATTTAGCACTGAGAAGCTGAGGGGACGTGGTGATTGTAGTAGCACTTTGAGGAATAGAGGCCCCTTCTGCCCTTGCCTGGACGAGGTGGTGTGCTTGGTGTCCCGACTGGCTGATCAGGGACCCTTTGTCCTCACTCTGTCAGAGCAGGGTAAGCAGGACAGAGTGGCAAGAGCTTGTTGCCAGAAGAGTAGCTGTTTTCATTGAGTTTTCAAAACTTGATTTTTGGGGTTTGCTGGATCAAATAACCAACCTTTTCTTTAAAAGGAAAAAAAACCAGAGTATCCTTCTAAATATGAGATGTTATTTAAATTAGAGTTTTAAAAACCTGGATAGGGCTAGTGTGATGTTAAAGTGGGTAAGAAGAGAAACCTTGAGAAACTAGTATAGTGGGTAGTCACTTCGTTGCAGCCATGCCAGTGTTATTCACGGGCCCACCTGCCCTCTTAAGTCCTTTCACTCACTAGTCACAGTCTCCAGGAGCCGTGATGGCGCTGAGTGAGGATTTACTGTATGGCAACCTCCCTTGGGGGTTAACTAGCACTACTGTTCTTAAAAGGGCTTTATTTCTCACTTCATCCACTTTGTTAATGTCCAGTCCAACTGAGGTGACTGCAGAGACCGTGAGCGCCCTGTGTGGCGAGGCAACTTATTCAGATGATCGAAAGGAAAATTGGTTTGATCCACTCATTGTCTTTCGTCTTTATGTAATGTTCTTTTGTTTGTTTTAAAGAACTAATGTTTATTACAGTGTTAAATCACAGTTACCATACTAAGTGTGTAGAATAAAAGTGCAATAACACGAGAAAATTACGTTGGCACAAACTTAGGTCCTTACACTCCTCCTTCTTGTGCTTTCTGGCTTTCCCCATAATATTGTTACAGCAGGCCCCTGTCAATTGTGTGTATTTTTAATAGATACAGCTATGGGTTAAATCTCCATTTAGCATAATTTTGAATGCTTGGATTTGGTTTTATAAGAGTATTCTGTATACTTGTTGGGATGCACAAATACCAGACATGCTGTATAATAAAGATTCCGTTGACGTTTTAGGTTTAAATCTGCTTGGCTTTTCTTTTTCCTGACCTCACTTCCGGTGTTAACAGGACGCTCCTTCCAACCCTTTTCCACTGGGGCCTCTGCGGGCAGATGACTTTCAGTTTGCCTGAGGAAAAGTTGATGGAACGTGGAACCCTCCTGTGGGGCTTCCCCAGCCAGAGTTGCTCTTGGTCTCTGGTTCTTGACGTTAGAACCACAGAGGGTGGGACAGGGCAACAGGCGCTAGGACGGCAGGGAAGTGTGGGGCCAAGTGGGGTGATTCCCATTTGATTTTCAGAGCCTTTCCTGGGTTCACACCCTTTCTCCAGCTCCTCAGTGTGAGCTTGCAGCCCACTGAGCTCACGCACCAGCCTCACTATTCTCCATTGCCCTTTGAGAGCATGTGGGGCTGTGACCGGTAAGTCTGTTCACGTGGAACATGTACATTGTTGACTTGGGCTCATCCCACAGTTCAGAACACTTGCTCAGCAGTGCCTCACAGGCACCCCCGCAGCCACTGCCTGCACAGTGGCACCGTGTGGTCACGATGCCAGCATTTAACCTGCACCTTTTCTCCATCAGGTCTTATTTGGGAGGAGAGGAGGTTACCATATCATGCTGTCTGGATGTCACTTTTTGTTATAAAAAAGTGCCGTGATGTGACTACTACACAGATTTGGGCATAAGATGGCAGTGCACAAAGACTTGGTATGTTTGTGTTTACATCTTAAAAAGCTCAAGCTGAATCTCCGTGGTTCTCAGCCTGCTCCTACACAGAACTGACAGGCCTCTTACACCTGTGAAACTCTCCACTGACTCCAACCCTTCACAATTAAATATATTCTGACTGAAACATAATGTGCCCTTCATTCTAGAATGAATTTCAGTGTGACTGCATTCTCTTAACCTCCTTTCTTACCATATTTGGAAAAAATACCTTGTGGTATACAGTTTTAGATTGGGCATGCTTTTTCAAGAATGTTGCTTTGCAGGATTGTCCCTTGAGAGGGGAAGCTGAGGTGGCTTTCCTGGTTCTCTTTGGGTGGGGCTCCCAAAGATAAGCTGCCAGGTTTCTGAATATTATTAAATACAGCTGCACATTTTCTACCTTTGGGCATGATCCCAGGGAGTCCAGGAAGTACTGACTGTATAGCTCCCCCATTCAACTGCAGCTAACACAGGTGTCCATGTACTAGTTGAAGTCCAGTTTCTAGGGATGGCCAGTTCCTTAGTATATTCTAAAGGGGTTTGGGGGGCTGGTGAAAGGATTCACAAGAGACAGAATGGGGAGCAGTGCAGGCAGATTTACTGAAATACACTCTAAGGGGAACAGCAGGGGAGACAGAGGTCTGGGGTGCCACATGTGGGTAGCTCCTTTGGCCAGTACCCCAATTCTTTTTTTTTTTTTTAAGTTTTTTTTTTTTTTTTTAAGATTTATTTATACAAGCACTGGGCACAGGCAGAAGTGCAGGAGGGCTAGAGAATTCACCAGAGCCAGAGCGGGGAGCAGAACATGCAGACTGACGAAGTACACTGCTGAGGGGAACAGCGGGCGTTGCAGGAGAGGTCTGCGCGCCATGTGGGACCCTCGCCTGGTGGCCGGGGATCGAACTGGCGCTGCAGAGGCTGCGGGCAGCTTCGCAGCCCAGTGCTTAACCGCTGAGCCATCAGGGGAGGCCCCGGTACCCCAATTCTTGTATGCATACATAAATAAAAATAATTTTTAAAAGGTTTATGTATGCATACAAGAGCTGGGGCACAGGCCAGCGATGCGGGGGGCGGTGAGAGAATTCACTAGAGACAGAGTGGGAAATAGAACAGGCAGGCGGACCAAAGACACTGTTGAGGGGAGCAGCGGGCATGACAAGAGAGGTCTGCTGTTCCGTGTGGTTTGCTCCCTGGCCGGCTAGGGATTGAACTCATGCTGCAGAGGCTGCGGATTGCTTCAGAGTGCGGTGCTTAACCCCTTGCGCCACCAGGGAGACCCCATAAATAAAAATAAAACTTAAAGTCAATTCTTTCCAATTTGCTCTATAGAGTCAATGCATTCCCAGTCAAAAATGCCAGAAAGTTAGTTTGTGGTTAGTGACATAATGATTCTAAAGTTAATATTTAATAGCCAACACAACAAAGTCAGAGGATTGACTACCCAACTTCAACACTTAACTTAAAAGTTACTAATCAAGGGCCTCCCTGGTGGCGCAGCGGTTGAGCACTGGGTTGTGAAGCTGCCCGCAGCCTCTGCAGCGCCAGTTCAATCCCCAGCTGCTCCCCGGCCACGGGAGGAGGGTCCCACATGGCGCGCAGCCCTCTCCTGCCGCCCGCTGCTCCCCTCAGCAGTCTACTTCGGTCCTTCTGCCTGCTCTGCTCCCTACTCTGGCTCTGGTGAATTCTCTCACCCTCCCCGCGCTTCTGACTGTACCCAGTGCTTGTATAAATAAATAAATAAATCTTTTAAAAAAATTATTAATCAAGACCATGTGATATTGGTGAAAGAACTGAAAAAGGACGCATGTAAATATAGTCAACTGATCTCTGACAAAGGAGCAACATTAGTGGAGAAAAGATAGTCTTTCAAGAATTGGTGTTAGGGCCTCCCCTGGTGGCACAGCGGTTGAGCGCTGGGCTGCGAAGCTGCCCATAGCCTCTGCAGCACTGGTCTGATCCCCGGCCACTGGGCGAGGGTCCCACATGGCATGCAGACCTCTCCTGCCGCCCGCTGCTCCCCTCAGCAGTGTACTTCGTCAGTCTGCATGTTCTGCTCCCAGCTCTGGCTCTGGTGAATTCTCTTACCCTCCTGCACTTCTGACTGTGCCCAGTGCTTGTGTAAATAAATAAATAAATCTTAAAAAAAAAAAAAAAAAGAATTGGTGTTAGAACAATCTGGGCATCCTTATGAAAAACAATGAATCTTAACACAGACCTTGTACCCTCATAAAAATGGACTCAAATGTGAATCACAGAATTCAATATAAAATGCAAAACTAGGGCCTCCCCGGTGGCGCAGCGGTTGAGCGCTGGGTTGCGAAGCTGCCCGCGGCCTCTGCCGCGCCGGTTCGATCCCTGGCTGCTCCCCGGCCACCGGAGGAGGGTCCCACATGGCGCGCAGACCCCTCCTGCCGCCCGCCGCTCCCCTCAGCAGTGTACTTCGGTCCTTCTGCCTGCTCTGCTCCCCGCTCTGGCTCTGGTGAATTCTCTCACCCTCCCGCGCTTCTGACTGTACCCAGTGCATGTATAAACAAAACAAACAAACAAACAAACCAGCAAACAAATAAATAAAAAGCATGCCTCTATAAAAAAAAAAAAAATAAAAAAAAAATAAAATAAAATGCAAAACTATAAAATTCCCAAAAGATAACAGGAGAAAATCTAGATTATCTCAAGTTTGGTGATGACATTTCAACTCAGCACTAAAGGGATGATCCATGAAGGTAAGAATTGATAAGCTGGACTCCATTAAAATGAACATTTTTTTGCTCTATAAAAGACACTATTGAGAATCAAAAGACAAGCCACAGACTGGGAGCAAACTATTTGCAAAAGACATATCTAATAAAGAACTGGCATCCAAAAGATACAAAGAACTCTTAAAATTCAATAATAAGCAAACTGGATTCCACCACAACATGGTGAAATAGGGAGGCTTGGATGAACCTTTCCCCCAAACACCAAAAAAAAAAAAATCTAGAGCTAGTCCACCACTAGGTAGATGGTCATCATGAAGTTCAACCTCTTCGTGACCTTGGACTACCACAAAAGCTACGAGCACATTTCATGGTGTCTTACATACAGGTGCAGGAAGATCATGTCATTTCCATTCCCCACAAACATTCACTCCATGCCCATCCCCAAGGATGATGCGGTCCAGGTGGTATGGGGACAATACAGAAGTCAGCAGGTTGGCACGGTGGTCCAGCTCTGCAGGAAGAAGGATGCTACCTGCAGATGACAGAGGGTGCAACGTGAGAGGATAATAACATGGCTGTCCATGTGGCATTCACCTGAGCAAGGTGGTGTCGCCATGCTAAACTGGATAAAGATCAGAAAATTCTTGAACACAAAGCCAAATCTCAACAAGTTAGAAAAGTAAATACAAGAAAGAACTTGCTGAGGAAATGCAGGAACGTATTGTGCAACCCCGGTTTCACTGTGGATTTTTAGCCTAGTGTGTGTCCTCTGAAAGATTTCAAGATATCTTGGAAATGTTTCATTTTCTTCCTGTTTTGTTACTGACGTGTGGCTCTGTAAGTCTACTTTTGCTGTTTTGATTAATAATGTTATGAACAAAAAGTGGAGCTGTTTAAAAAAACCTAAAGCTTGCTCCCAGGAAATTTCAAAAGTTCATTGCCAGAGGAGGGGCACTTTCTCATGGAGATTTTATGCTGAAGCCTGTGGTTGCTGTGGGGACAGAGCAGGGAGCGGTGAGGGGAATCGAGGCCAGGGCAGTGGTCACGCTAGTCAGTGAAACAGGTTGGGGACCTGTCCATGTGTGGACTGTGGCACATGGACTGAGTGTGGTAAGTCTTTCCAGAGAAGCTTTCCAGCAAGGGGTAGTGCAGACAGGTGTGCACATATGTGTGTGGACTTTCGATTCTGTCTGCCAGCAGTAGGGGTGGTGGAGCCCCGCCCCCCTTGCCAGCTAGGAAATCAAGAAGAGTGACCTGCAGTGCGGGCCCCACTCTCCTTGCCCAACATCCCTTGCTGGTGGCTTGTGCCTGGCACCCCCCCCCACCCCCGCTCCCTGCACTATGCCCCCCACATTGCAGAGAGGAGCAGGTAAAAGGAGGTGGGGCCCTGGAATTTGGGCTTTAAAGCAGTGACCAGAGTTTACTCCAGAGAGGAGAGGAGTAATCTTTTCACCTGGAGCAGCTCTCACTGAGATCAAGTCCTTGGGCTCCACACCTGCCTCCAACTTAAATAAAGAAGAAAAACAAACAAAACTAAATGCATAGTGCTCTAACCAGTAAAAGAAAATAAGACAAGACGCAAACTTGGGAAAGAAGGAACATCTGAACCTAAGATGGAAAAGCTAGGGCCTCCCTGGTGGCGCAAGTGGTTAAGACACAACCTATGAAGTTGTCTGCAACAGCTGCAGCAGGAGTTTGATTCCTGGCCAGGGAGGTGACCCACAAAGCACAGAAGACCTCTCAGGTCTCCCTGCTGCTCCCCT